TGCTTTTTGACAAAATCGGTGTAATGAAAAACAATGGATGCATGGTTTTCATTGGTGGCTCATGTTCGAAAACTCGGATCGAAAAAATTAATTATAATCATAATATATGATTTAGTATTAATATATTTTGTGCATAATACTATAATTAGTTTTCATGGTTTATTAAAATAGTCATTTTGACTCATCTTCTTTATAAGAGTATTTTGGTCGTCAAACGTTCTATTTTGGGGTAAAAGGACCCCTCTGTGAATGGAAAATGTTAGTTAAGAAATTGTTAATGATCCAAAATAGGTATTTTAACCTTGAAATGTTATGTTGGTGGCCAAAATGCTCCAATAATAATAATGGTCAAATTGACTATTCAATCTAGCATTAAGGGCCTTTTTGCCCTAAAATAAAATGTTATGGCCAAAATACTTTAAAAAAATATGAGTCAAAATAACCATTTTGGTAAATATTAGGGACGATTTTTGACATCATGCCTATATCTTTCTATCGAAATCAATTGTTTCGATTTAGTTAACAATTAAAAACATTTAATTTGATTCTTTCTGCCCGTAAATTAAGTTTTTACAAAATATATAAATATAACATTTTTTTTATTTTTTTAAATAAAAATAGAAAGAAGAAAGAAAGTTTGGCTGTGATAGGGTTAAGCTTTTCAACCTTGCAACCATTCAGTAAAGTGATAGTTGCTTTAAGTTCTTGAATTGATTTTAGGTTTAAGTCTATCACTTCATGAAAATTGTGGTCTCACTTGTTATACCATTTATTAGGGTTAACGGTGCATTAAGCACTCCATATCTTTACATTTTCTATTAATTATCAAATTCTGTATGTCTTAAAATTTTATAATTTTGCACTCGTACATTTTTAATTTAATTTTACGTAAAACTTGACATTCGTTCTTTTGGTGAATATTTTACGGTCAGAAAATAAATACGACACTTCATCAACAAATCGAGTTGTGTAAATGACAAAAGAGAAGATATGGTATGGGGTTGGCGCCGTGATTTTGAAAAAGAAACGACAAAAACAAAGCGGTGTTTAAATCCCATAAGAAAGGCTATATTAGCTGGAATTTAAAGGGCAGTGTGTCTAAAGGCAATGAATTTGTGCTTTTTTTTTTCAACTTTTGTGTTGTGTTTCTTTTTTCCATAGATTATTATCCTCTTCTCAATATATATATATATATGAGGCATGATCCAATTATATGGTGTAAAGCTAGAAAGTTTTACATCATTTTAGAATCGTTTGGTGAGAAAAAAAATCAAATGATGACATTAACAATAGAAGATGTGAAGATATACACTGGAAAAAGACAATGAGTTAATCTCAACATTTGATTTCTCCTCATCCAACCATCCTAAGAAGGTATAAAACTTTTAATTTTACACTAGATATAAGTAGATCCTAACCTTTTATATATATATATATAATAAGATGTATATTATCATCAATTTTAAATTTTAGACAGATCGTTTATTTTTATTTTTTTGGAATGTGAGGTGTGACACTATCAAATTTTTTAACAAGATTAAATATTAAATAATATTAAACTAATTTAATATAACTAATTAAGGACTTTGAGCTCTTCGAATCTCTCTAGAACCTCTACTTTCTTTTTCAATAATTTATTTAAAAAAAAGTCCTTTTCACACTTGGAAAATCATCTCAGCTATCCATTCTACTCACTTGGATTGATTTTTCCGCATAATCTTCTGAGTGATTACAATTTGGAAAATATGGAGTATAATATATAAATATGGGACAAACATTAATATATGTATCAATTTTATTTTACTTATTAAAGGATTCTCCTAAAGTTTTAAGAATAATATTCAATGTTCTAAACTACCAATGATTGCATTGATTCTCAAGTAAAATAAAAATGTTATTTTTTATACTATTAATATTTTTATAATATAACTGTTATATTTTATGTTCCATTATGTATGTTATATATATATATATCGATTTTCAGTTAAATTAAAAATATGTAATTATTTGATGAAAAAAGTTTATCGTTGAATATATATTAAAAATAATAATGAGTATCAAGAATATTCCTACCGCAACGTGTTAGACATGATCAACCATCGATATGAAACATGTCACGTTGATGTGGAGAACTCATATCCAAGCCCTAGCTCCGGCCTCCGGTGATAATGGAACTGATGTAACAAACCTAATTCGAGATGAATGGGTCATTTCAGACCCAATACAAACTCGAGTTTGTAACAACTCCAGAGTAAAAAAAATTAGAGAGAAAAACACGTAGAAAAACAGAAAAATATTAGCTAATGAGGAAGAAAAAGAAGAGGGTGACACTGCAAAGGTGGTGGTGGGAGAGGGCCGAGACAAGGGGAGTCGGGCTAGAGGGTGATGGTAGGTTGGCGGCCAGAGGAGGACTAGGGTGGGGTGGAGTCACGTAATATCTAGTTGGGGGCGGAATAAGAATATAAATAGTTGGGAGGAGAGTAAAAATTTTAATGTTAAAAGGACTAAATTGAACCAACAAATTTTAAGAGGGGTTTAAGAAACAATTTAAAATCCATTGGAGCATGATAAATTGAGAATACAGCACCGTCCAAACAAAACCCTTAAACAAGACAAGAAACGATATCCTCCGACCAAACAACTAAAAAACTGTTTTTATATAAAATAATAAAAGAAAAGAAAACGTGTGGAATTTTCTTTTTGTGGTATACTATATATTTATATATATTCCACCCATAATTGGTCCGCCACCTCACTGCAAATCAAGCACTAAACACAATTTTATCATCTCGGAGGGATTAAAAATGCAATTTTACTATATTTTAACTTATAATTTTATATTTTTTAAAGGAATTCTACACACTTTTCTATTAGCCACTGAATGGTTTTGGCTTATTTTGCTATAAATTGCATGGAAATATTAGCAGTTTATGTGAACGCCCATTCGACTAAATCGATGGGTGTTGGGTAGAGACGGAATTAGGATTGGACTTGAGGAGATAAGCTGAAATAAATAGGATCCTAAAAGGTACTTAAATTATAAAAATTTATAGATTGAGGGTTTACTTTTATAAATTTTAAAGGGCTTAAAAAGTAATTAAACTATATAAATTTCAGTTCAAGACTTAATTCCATTAATTTTAAAACTGATAGTATCCTAAAAGCAACTATACAAAAAAAAATGGGAGGGATAAGGCTTAATTGCAATGATTCCAAAACTACCAGTGGCCTAGAAAATAATTAAACCATCAAAGTTAGGGGCTATTTCTCCTCTACCTATCCCGTGTGTCCGTCCCTGGTGTTGGGAGTAATCGTACTTTCTGAAATTTTTAAATTTTCATACAATTTCAATATTTTTTTTTTGATAATTTAATTTTGTACCTTTAAAATTTTATAATTCATATTCCAAAATTTGTTATATATTCTCAAAAATGTCACACTCTTAACATAAAAATATTACGTGCAATCTTAAACTAAAACCATACAACAATAGAGCCATGCCCACACCCTACAGCTACCTAAGCTACCAATTAGCAACATTAATAAACAACAATCAAATAATGAATTAAGTTAAGCTTCGGGTTTAAATATACACATAGGAGCAATAACAATTCATTTTGGATCAATTTTAATTCGAAATAGAGTCGAATATGAAATATAATTGAACTAAATTTTACTATTTGTGTGCGTTTGGGTTAATAGATTTTATGTTTTTATTTTTTTAAATTATTTCTATCAATTTAAATATAAAATATCTATTTTCATCTTGTAGAAATGAAAAATAAAATTTTAAATTTAATATAACGAAAACGGAACGGAGCGTTACTATTGAAATTGTGTTTCTAAGCCTAATCCATAATTATTTAATTTGCCTAATTAATATATTCCCACTGTTTATGAACGAACCCTAAATGGAATTGACTGTTTGAACTGCAATTTGTTCATAATTACAAACCAAGATAGACACAATTTTGGACTTTCCCGTGTGGAGAACTAATAAATTAAACTTTAATAGAAGAAAAAGAAAGTCAAACTTTCAAAGCCTTGCTGCTATTTGCTAACTATAATATAAGTTACTACCAAGCTTTATGGGTCTAATTAATCAAGGGATAAACTAATTTTTTAGTCCCTGACTCAATAAATTTTCTCAATTTAGTCTTGAACGTTTTCTTGGTTCACATTAGTCTTGAACTTGACAACTTTTTTCCGTTTTCAATTATGATTGTTGGAACCGAATCAGACCGGTTGATACGACCTACTGAATCGGAATCAATGACCTGATCGATTGAATCAATGTGATAAAACTGAAAATTGTGTGACTTAGTGTGAACCGTTAAAAAAGAACTTACGGGTTAAAAATCAGTGACTGAACTAGTTGAACCGGTTTTTGGGGGAAAAATTAAGAATTCAATTTCTTTTTATTTTTTTAAAATTTAATTATTGTAGAATTAACGATTTAATAAATTAGATCGCTCAAATCAGTTAAATCAAAAATCAATAGTCTAGCCAGTTCAACCACCTATTTAACTTTTACCATAATATATGTAACTACTTTGATGACACGATACTCTGAAATTATGTCAATCATATTAAGTTGTTCATCTTTGTTCCCTCATATTCTTTCAAGTTATGGGTTCTATACCCACTAAGAGCACTCTTCTTCTTTCCCACAGTCTCCCTTTCTCATACCCTTTAGGTAGGATTAAGATTAGATTTCGAATTTGTCAAAAAAAAATACTATGGATAAAATTAAAAAAATATAAAGTTCATGGAGCAAACAATGATTTAACCCATCAATTAAGTTCTACTGCGGCTTTGTTCGTCTCTCTTTCTCTCTGTAAAAGATTTAATTACCATTTCCCACCCCACCATTTTTCAAACCAAACTCCTTCTATAAAAGCACCCCATCTACTTGTCTATCTTCCCTGTAAAAATCAAAAACTCTCTTTTGTCTCTCAACAAATCATCTGTGATCTCAAAAGTGAAAAACTTGGATTTGTTTTGTGTTTTTGCAAATGGAAGATGTTAAAGCGAGGGGATGCGTAAGAAAGGTTGGAAGCAGTGAAGAAGAAGAACAGATGGATTTGGTTCGAGGTCCTTGGACTGTTGAAGAAGACTGTCAGCTCATCAATTACATTGCTATTCATGGCGAAGGTCGCTGGAACTCCCTTGCTCGTTCCGCTGGTAATTTCATCTTTCTTTCTGGGTTTGATTTACTCCTGTGCATATAACAAGCTGATTTCAACCTTGTAAAATCTTCATGTTTTTTCCTTAAAATGACAATCATGTCAACATGGATGTGTCTGAATCGGATCAGGTCCGTCAGGTTTTTAGTTAATTTAAAATTGATTTGAATATTCTATTTTTTTTATCCGTTATCAAATCAGATTTTTTTAAAATAATTTTATTTGATCTTAAAACTCACATGATTTTTTGAATTAAAAACTCGTATTCAACCTGACGTATATGTATAGTTTAAATTTTAATAAGTAAAATAGTGATTTAATTGAAAATATAAAAAAATATTATTATAATTAGTCTTAAATATATAAAAATATAATCGTACTATTATCTTGGTTCAAGTTAAATAAGGAAATTTTCATCTTAAAGTCGAAATCGACTCTATCTAATCTTATCCTTAAAGAAATATCCAACTCAAACTCTAATTTTTCAAAAAAAAAAAACTAATTTTATAAATCAAGTCAGATCAAAATCAGTCGAGTCCGAATCAAAAGTGACCCCTTCACGTAAAAATCATTTTCATGGCGATAAACAAAAAATGCGAAGTTCTTGTTTTGTATGTGGTCTAATTGTTGTTTTACTCCTTATACTATATAAAATTAAAAAGAACTTGGGTCTGATTTGATTGATCCTAGGGATCTTAACAGTTAACACCAACTTGTTAGAAAGTAAATGGTCAAGTACATCAGAAGCCACAAAATTGAGCTCAAATGGTCATTTTGATCACTGAAATTTAAAAATTACAAAATGGGTCATTAAAGTTATCAAATTATTACAAAATAATCATTAAATTTTATCAACTTGTTAAAATATTTTCATTAAATTTATCAAAATTGTATACTTATTATAATGTAACGTTGATTATTTTGTAATAGTTCGATAAATCTAATTGCCGTTTTTTAATGTTCAAAAGACCAGTGGCTACAATGATCATCGGAGCATAGTTCAACTACCTGGAGTGTAGTTTACCCAAAAGTAAAGGCTTCACGTTTTAACGAAAAAGCTAAGCCATATTTTAGAAAAATTGTGACTTAGAATGCGAGGTTGATGATGACTTTATAAAGAGAACTCAATTATAAATGTTTTTTTTCCTAAACCAAAAGCTACAACTTTACCAAAGAATGTTAAATTCTATGAAATTACAGGTCTGAAGAGAACTGGAAAAAGTTGCAGGCTGAGATGGTTGAATTATCTACGCCCGGATATTAGACGCGGTAACATCACTCTCGAAGAACAGCTTCTGATTCTGGAGCTTCACTCTCGGTGGGGAAATCGGTAAATCAAATGTTTTAGAGTCTTAATTCTCTCGAAATTATTTCTTTTTTGGGTTTTTTTTTTCCAGACAATTTACGGAGGTTTTGTTGTTGCAGGTGGTCGAAAATCGCCCAACATTTGCCGGGGAGAACCGACAATGAGATCAAGAACTACTGGAGAACCCGTGTCCAGAAGCATGCTAAACAGCTCAAGTGCGATGTCAACAGTAAGCAATTCAAGGACACCATGCGTTATTTATGGATGCCTAGATTGGTCGAAAGGATTCAAGCCGCCACCACAACCGACAATCGCACGGCGGAGAATTCGAGCACCGCAACAGCGGCGTCTTCGGACTCTATCGAGGCCCAAGTTTCGGATTTAACTAATTGTACTTACAGCCACGGCTTCCATTTTGATGACAGCCCTAATCCGGATTATGGTTTCCAGGCCAGCGGCCAAGTTGATTACTCCGATGTATCAGAGAATTACTACAACCACCGTGGCGATGTCGGTGTTGATTACCAGACCAACAATTATCAGCCCCTGTTGGATGGCTGTGATCTTTCGGACAATTTGTTGAATGCTGAGGATTTCTTGTTCTTACAGCAACAGTTCAACTTCAACATTTGAAAATATTTGTCCATTAGATTTGGGGTGAAATTCAATTGTATATAAGAAAGATAAGAAGAGTGCAAATTAGAGAATTTTAGAAGAAAAAATTAGAAATGACCAACCAGCTCAGTTGGTAGAGCACAAGGTTCTTAACCTTTAGATCGTGGGATCGAGTTACACGGAGGGCATTTCATAATATAGAGGTCTCCCCGGAAGCTGTTCTCAACCTGACGTAGCTTACTTCCCCTTATTCCATTACATATGGGAATAAGGGTCAGCTAAAAAGCTATTACGTATATGGTAACTTTTATATAATAGTGAATTACTTTAATGTTTTTTTTCATATTAGATATCGTAAATGTTTATATTCTTTTTTTAAGTAAATGTTTATTATCTATTTTTTATATTTACATGTTTTGATTATGATTTATGCCTTTATGGGATTTATGGTTGATTGATTTACTCGATTATTAGGGATGTTCAAACCGTTAATTCGGTCAATGACCAAATCAAATTTACTGATTTTTTTAAATTATTAATTGAACCAAATAAATTTGAGTCAATTTTCGAATTAACCAAAAAAATTTAAATTTTCTAATTTATATAAAAATTGAATATTTTTAATTAAAAAATGGTTTACAAATAATTTAAATCATATCTAATTATAAAATTAAAAACAACCATTTAGTTTTGGGTTTTCTTTAATTAATTAATATTGATTTAGATTTAAAAGTTACTAGATCTTAAATTATCAATGGGGTTTTAAATGATTTAGGCTAACATATATATTATATATAATATATTTAAAATTTAATTTTGGTTAATTCAGTTAATTAACAATTTAACCGATTTTAAACCAAATTAACCGTTAATTGAATTCTAAAAAAATTATTAATCGTTCTTTGACCGAACTAATTCGGTGGCCGACTGAATTAACCGAACTAATTCGGTTAAGTCGGTTAATTCGGTTAAAATAGAAAAATGAACACCTCTATTGATTGTTACAATTTTATAGGTTTAATTACAATTGTAGTCTTTTATATGCTGAAATTTAAGATCATATGAAAATCCAATTGCTGCAATTTAAGATCATATGAAAATCCAATTAACTCTTTTAATTGATAAAAAATTATATCCAACTGAATGCTTAAGGTTTTTTTATTATTAAAAAACAATTTTTAATTACATCAATAATAATTAATGATGTTATCAATGTGAATCTACTAACAATAGAATCAAATTATACAAAATTAAAGCAGAAGGGTTAAATCTCAAAATTTAACATAGTAAAATGGCTAAAAGCACAATAAAATCAGTTTTATTATTTATAGCCGGTGGTGATGATGGCAACCATATTCGTGTGTAAATATAAAGGGCGATGGCGCGTGCGAGGATAAAGAGAAGGTGAAACACGTGATGGAATAGTGTAGAGAGAAGGATGGCGGCTGGGGATTCTTTGTAGGCCACGTGTCTATTGGGGAAGCCTACCGATGTGGTCATCATTGTGTTGTGTTACTATTATGACACGTGTCTTCTTAGTGGAATTTATATTTTTTTTATTGGAAGTCACAACCCACAACTGCAAAGCACTCACAGCCGCAACTCTTGAAGCAGCCCAATGCGACAATTCCACGTTTGCCTTACCATATTTTTTTAATCTATTTTTTATATTTATATAAAGAAAACTCTATTATTTAGTTTATTGTTTTTCATGTTAAATTAATGAACTAGGTTACTAAAAAAGGACTTTAATAACAAAAGCATGAGTTAAAAAAGTTATTATTTCCCTTTATATGTGTTAGAATCATAATATTTTTTATAATTAATTATCCAGTCTTCCGCATCATCGAAGGCATGGATCGGGTTTCGACCAACCCGATCTGATTCAAAAAATTTATATCATTCACCTGACCTGTCTCGACCCGAAAAATATATATCATTCATCCGACTTGATTTTTTTATATAAGTTTTAAACCCGACCCGAAATAAAAAAAATATTTTTATTAAATAAAAATAATTATTTAATTGAAAAATCAATATATATAAAGATATTATTGTAATTATTCTTAAATATATAAGATGAAATTATATTTTTCGGGTCAGATCGGGTATTTTTCACCCTAAAACCAAAACTAACCCAACCCAACCCGAAAATCACCTTTAAAAAACCCGACCTGATCATGTCGGGTCTGGTCAGAACCCATTGTGTTCGGGTCTTATGTCCATCCCTAATTCGAATCATAAAAAGTTATCAAAACTTATAATTAAATTTTTCTTGTTAAATCAAATTATAAAATATATTCTTAAATATAATTTAATTTAGATCTAACGAATAATTTAATTCAGGGACACATTACACAACATCATTCAAAACAGGTTTAGAATGCAAACAACAAATTCCAATAATTTATCAAATAAGTTCATGTGAAACCACGAGAGTATATATTAACAACTAACTACGAGTAAAAATGTTAATTAATGAATCAATTAAAATAATTAAAAGAAAGAACGGATTAACGGGATATATGGGCGCAATTAGTTGCGTGATAAATTTAGTTAATTAGTTTAAGTGAGAAAATGACACATGCGTTAAATATGTTGTGTTGTTGTCGGTCACCTATAGTTTAGGGTAAGTACATAACTTTCATGAAATTCAATTTTTTTTTAATTTAACTAATTATTTTATTGATTTTGTATACCATAAAATTTTATTTATGCTAACTCTACGAAAATTATGAGTGAAATGCATGTATGTTTGTCCTAAAAAATATTTTTGAATCTATCGTTATTATTTTTGAATTATAATCCTCGAATATTTTGGGATAAGAGTTAAGACCATCTTTAAATTACAACAAACAACGTTAATCACTCTTGTTCTCAATTACGGCATTCTTAGTGGAGTTTAAGGGAATTTGCTGTCCAAAACTTTCATATTTCTTTAAATAATTAAATTTTAATTCATTAAACGATTTGAAATTTAAGTAATAAAAGAGAATGATATTATTTTTAAAAAATTTAAATTCAAGCAATTGTATTTACAAAATATATGTGAATTATCAATGACTAAAAAAAACTAAGAATATATATTATGTTATAATTACTTAAAACTATTAAACAAATGTTTTATAGGTTATATGTGTCCGACTTCATTGAAATATTATTCCAAAAAGTTCAATGATGGATTTTATCATCAAAAATTAAACACTCGATTTGATGAATTTCATCAAAAATATTATTTGACCGTTACCTTTAACGATTGATCATTAAATAATTGAATGGTCAACGTAATCGTTTCCTAAAACCCCTAATTAAACTGAGGCCATAGCCATAGGTTAGTCAGTTACTAATTCAATTTAAAATATTAAATAATAGTTTTTCTTAAGATGATAATATATATATTATTATATTTTTAATCTTAAAATAAAATGACTAAAAATCACAGCGTACCATACATGATTCACTATATATATGATTAAGATTCACTTACATAATGTAAAACTCTTTAGTTTTACAGAGATTTAGGACTATCAGATGAATAAAAATAGATAATTGAGATTAATTCATTGTTTTTATTTTTCCAGTGAATATCTTTTCATTTTCTACTGTTAATCTCAACCATCAATTTTCACTCATCCAACAGTCTTAAATCTGTGTAAAATTAAAAGAATTTTACATTGTGTAACAAAATAATATATATATATATATATACTTCAAATCCTTTTAGGAGGCCCAAAGTACATTATTTGGGCTGATTGTATAAATGGTTACAATAATTAGGCTCAAACTTGTAGATATCTAATCCAAAAGTTTAGTAGATCAAGTTGAATATCAAAAGTGGGCCGCCAACATTTTTAGCTTTTGAAATTTGTTTAACTATCACTATTCGATTTATTGATTAATTACAGATACCGTAGAAACTCATTCTGAAAATGAGCATCTCAATCTAATTTACTCTATTTGCAACACTAAAATTCAAACTTTTGACCTTACTTAAGGAATCTAGCATCTCTCCCTTAGGATTCTATGATCGTAAGCTACTCGAACTTCACTCGATCAAAGCTTGATAAATACTCAACTTGAGTTCAAACTCGAATCGAAATATTAACAAGTTGAAACAAACTATTTGATACTAAACTTGAAAAACTCAAGAGCAACTTGAAAAAAATAATATATTAAAATTATATTCTTTAAAAATTAAATTTTTAATAATATTAACATTTATGTGTTTTTTTTAAATGCAATATAAGATTTTCATGTACTTAAGGTTTATGTTCGAGTTCGACTTTGAGCTTTAATCAAGTTAAGTTTAAGATTTTTTTTATTTCAAACTTTTTCGAACTTCAATTCATGATTTAAAGTTTGCTTGAAAATTTTAGGCTCACGAGTTTTCGAGCCGAGTCAGGTCGAGTTTACAGGCCGACTCTCACTAAACCAACTAATTGTTGTTATTCCTTGAGGTATAAAGTTCGAACACCACATATACAAAAGTATGAGTGTTTAATGTCAAATGATTAAAAGTCACTAAAAATATATTATGTTGTATTCACCCCAAATTAATAAAATAATATATTATACAATTACAAATGTACTTCAATTATATGTATATATATTTTTTAAAATGAACATCATAATATATACTTCAACGAAGTAAATTAAATTACCTTTCTATCTTGCACTACTTTCCTTCGTTGGCTTCCCCAGCTAATTCATTCACGGCATCATCACCGAACATGGCCAACTGAGGTTTGAACACCGATACCGGAAATGACGTCGTCAACCCCATCGGAGTTTTGAATGTGATCATCGACTTCGCCGAACAGGATCGTTGTTGGACGTAGATTTCGGTCAAGTCCAACCAAATCATGAACTCCTTGACTTTAACACCGGTCAGGTTCCTGATCTTGTTAGTCTCGATATATGCCTTGATTTCCTCGTCGTACCTGATGTTGATGTTATCGAACATGTGGAGGCCGTCCCTCTTTGATATAGTTTCGTGTCGGGACCGGCGTCGGAGCCAGACAAAGCCGGTATCCTTAACGTAACCGTATTCGTGTATGTCCTTTAGAGTTAGTAGCAAGCCCTTTGGCAACCCTTTTTCTTCTAACAATGACGTGAACTTCTCTGTGCATGTTTCGTTTCCGTGGTAAACTTCGGCTTTGGCCTTCATTTCCTGTTACCAGATGAGACGGCATTTTTAGGGTTTATTTTTTCTTTTTTCGGACAAAGGGATTTGAATTTCGAGGGGTTTCAGGTTGAAGATGGAGTATTGCTGTGGTGTTTCACCTCAAATTGAACTCCTTTTGTTTATGGCAATTTGGGTGCAACGTGGTCGTGTTCGGCAATGTCCCAAAAATTTGGTTAGACCAAATTATGGTTTTGGTCTTTTTACTATATTCAAATTTGAAATCTAGTTCATGTTCTCCAGTTTAGCTTGATTTGATCTCTTGCTTTTACTACGTTAATATGGATTATTTAGAAACACCCTTTTTTAAAGTAAAGTGATCAAATTATGTCATTTTAACTATTTAGATTAAAAACACCATTTTGGTTTTAAATATCATCTGAACTTGTTTTTTTTAAGATATGTGTTTAAATTTATATTTTTTTTAGTTCAAATTGGTTAAAGATCATAAGCACGAACCAAGTGATATTGGTGGTTAAGGGATTTGTTATCCATTGAGGTCTCGAGTTCGAGCACTGCGTATGCCAAGGGTATGAGCGTTTATTGTCAAATAATTAAAAATATTTAAATAGATACTACCTTGTATTCACCTAAAATTTATCAAATAATAATAATAAAAAAGTCAAGTTTAAGTACTAATTTGAAAAGAAAGTAAAATTCAGATACTTAATTGAATATAAATACTCAAATATCAAATTAAATCTTAGAATCGGATTATACTGGTTAGGTATAACATAATTAATATTTAATATCACTAGTACAAAAATACGAGTTTCAAATTATATTTAAATTTGTTCATACTCGTAGTCTTGTAGATGATTAATTTAAGGTTAATTTTTTATTATACATTTTTAATTTTTAAAAAATATTTATGTAATTTTAAGTTTTTTTTGCCCCCCGATACGAAGATTTCGCCTTAAATAATTAGGATTGACCCGCGTCGCACACGTAGTTTTGGTGAGTAAGTCTCCTAGCAGAGATTTTCTACATACACAATGACTTAAACTTGTGATCTTATTTAAACGATATCAAGCTGCTTACCACTTGAACCAATCCTTGTTGGTATGCAATTTTTAGTTTAATAATTGTATATTTTTCGTATTATTATTTTTTGATAAATATTTGTTTAATATAAGGTAGTATATGTTCAAAAAAGATCAATCATTTAATAATTAACGCTCATACCCCTGCATATGCGGTGCTTGAACTCGATAACTCAGGATAACAACAATCTCTTAATCATTGAAGTCGCTTGATTCATGTATTTATTTTAATCTTTAAACTTATAAAACTTAATATATACACTTTTAAAAATTATATTATAAAGAATTAATTGAGTGACTTTAATAAGTCAATAAATTATTTATTAAATTAAATACTATCGTTTAATTACTATATATTATTAAAAAATTATTTTATAAAATTTTAATTAAAATGAATAATTATTTGATATCGATTTAAGATAGATATTGAACATATATTAACCCTAAAAACCAAATACCTATAAGAGAATATTGATTCACGAAATGTAAGATTACATTTGAGAATAAGGTTATTGGAAAATAACATTACTCTAGAAATATTGTATTACCTTGTTTGGTTTATTCAACAGAAATATAAGATTACAATGTTTGGTGAGATGAATATAGGAATACTTTGATGCATATTTTACCAAATTAACATTGTGATATATGTTTTTTTTCAATAAATTAAACTTGAATACTAAATTATAAATATTTGAATGAAAATTTATAAAAATATTTTAATCGTTATATTATCTAATTTTTAATGAAAAAAATACATTTAACATATAATTAATATATAAAACTTATATTTTTAAATAATTTTCATAACTATACATTGAAAAATAATACATTTGTTCACTCGAGACTACAATATTATTTTTTATATTTATTTATACTTTGTATAAAAAATAATATTGTACTTTTGAGTGAACAAATATATTATTTTTGAATGTATAAGATCAATTTTTTAATAACTCAAAGTTAGATATTATTTTAAATAACATTTTATAATAATATCATCTTCTTCACCCCATAAATTATAAATAATTATTAAATGTTAAAAGAGTCAATTACATCACATGTCCTCAAAGTATGACCCTTATTTTAATTTCATCCCCAAACTATGACCTTCATTTTTAATTTATCCCCAAACTTTTTTAACATTCCAATTTCATCCCAAATTATATGTATATACTAATCACATCTCTTATTAATAAAATCGTTAGGTTAAGTTATATTATTATATGTTTGAAAAAACAAAATTAAGGTTAAATTATGGTTGAAACTAAGTACATATTTGGATGACTTTAAGGATGAACTTGGAATGTTCAAAAGTTTGGGGACTAATTTAGAAAGAGGTCATAGTTTAGGGATGAAATTAAAATTTTCAAAAAGTTTAAAGACTATTTTATAAAGAGAGTCATAGTTTTGGGATGAAATTAAATATTCAAAAGTTTAAAGATCAATATAAAATGAGAGTTATAATTTGAGGACATATAATGTAATTAACTCATATTAAAAATATAAAATAATTTTAACTATTTAAATTTATTAATATTTTAATATATCAAACTCTTTGTATATTATTATTGTTATTTATTATTGTTATGTTTATAATTTTAAGCAAAACATGAAGAATAAAAATTGAGAATGATTCATATGAAAATAATTTATTATTCTAAGGATATATTTATCTTAAATGATGAGAATTGTACAATACCAAAAAATTTGAAGTTAATAACATTCTCACAATTTTAATCAAAATATATTACTATTGATTATAATAATTTTTTTTCGTAAATTAAACATGGAAATACAATTCCTTAAAAAATAATTACAAATTTTTCCCGTAAACCAAACAAAGAATAACCTTAATCAGGAATAAGAAATACAGGTTAAAACCAAAAGTCAGCAACCAACCAAACAGACCCCACCAACAATATCCTGCCCTTTTTCTGTATTGGGATTGGAAGTACACACAGTTTCATCTTTGAGCTTCGTGTTGAAACACTCTCTTTTCTGCGGCCCCCAAATTCGGTCCTTTAGTAATAATTTCCCTTCAATTTAAAAACCTTTTTTTTAAATTAGTGGGAAAAAGAATCAAAGAAACGGTTTTAAGAACAAAAGAATATCACGCTTTATTTGACCCATTTTCTTCGATGCTCATTTAATTCCCAACTTTTTAGGGCTTTTTATTGATTTTCTCTTTGTTTGGTATCTCTCATTTCTTCTTCTTCGTTGTCACTGCACTTCCCCAGTTCCCCTGGTTCAAGGTAATTGCCCATTTGCCTACCTTTTCTTCTATTAAATGTCAACTCTTTGTTTCGTTTAATAATTTCCCTTTTTCTGTTGTGAAATTTTGTTGGGTTTTGGATTCCCAAATGGGATTTCTTTGCTCTTCTTTTTTGTATGAATGATTTGTCTGCGTGTTTTGAATTTAGCTGTGTTTCAGGTTTGGTATTAGTTGTAACGTATTGATGAGAAGTTGGCTGTTAATTACTGGGAATGAAAGTAAAAGTGAACTTAAGTTATTCATAGAAATTCCAAGGAGGGTTTACTTTTTTCTCCCTACGACTTAATTTGCCCTCTAATTAATTGTTGAAGTTTTATGGAAATTGTGTTTGATATGAAACTTTATGTCAAACTGGTAGTTTCTCAATTAGCAACATCTGACCTCTTTTGCTTTCATTTTCTGTGTGATATCTAATGATGGAAACATTGGAAACCTCATGAATGCTTTGTTTATGCACTTGAATTATATATGTATTGGCTAACTGTGTACGTTTGGCAGGTGCAATGTTTTGTTTAGGGGAGAACTTATTCCTTTTAATGTCAAATCTCAAAACCATCTTCCATGGTTCTCTTGATAGGCTAGGGACAGCTTAAACTGATTTCCGTTTTCAAGGAAGCGACAGGCTATTATAATTTCATGGCTCGGAAAGGTAATCAGCAGAAGAATGGAAAACAAAGGGGTATGGAGGCAGGATATCGAGTCTCCAGTGCAAAAGGAACAGGAAAAGCAAGTGAGAAAATGGTTTTTCATGGAGAGGAACTACCAAATGGTAATCCACCAGATAGTGCTTTAACTGAGACTTTTAGAAGTGGTCATCAAGCTGGGACTGAGAATAATTATAGGCAGAATCCTGAGATATCGTTAACAACAGAGAAGCATGGTGATGCAGCTGAGTTTCTTGGTCAATCAATATCTTCTGGGAGTAGTTCTGGGGATTGCATTGGAAATGCAGCTTCAGATGAAGCTTCAACTAGAAGGGAACGAAATGAAATATCACCTGATGGAAACCTTCATCCAAAACACAAAAAAGGAGTTTGGGGCTGCTTGTTGAAATTGAATGGCTTTCACCTTAAAGATGCGATGGAGAATGTAAAGTTTTCAGATTATGTGGTGGTAAGAAATATGAGAGCAGCAGCGAAAGCATCTGCTGCATCCACCTTTAATGTGATAAGCCAGTGGCTCGAGAGGCAGAGGCCAATTTTCTTTTCCCTAACAACGAAAGTGTATAATGCTCGAGATCATGTCAAAGTAAAGGTTGATCGATTATATCCCATCATGTTGACGTGGCTTAAGCATTTTGGAAATATCATGCTTCTTTTGTCAATAATCTGGTTGGACTGTACTCTTAGGGGCATTGATTCCTTTCTCCGAATGGGTACAACATCACTTTTTTCAGTCATATGGTGCAGTATTTTCTCGGTGTTTGCAATGGTTGGGATGTTGAAGTTTCTTATGCTCTTGGTAAGTTCTGGTTGCATCTCATCTTTGTTTTTCTTAAGGTTTCTTTGTCCATGATCCCACTACCTCAATTTGCATTTTACGAATCCCATGAACTATCGACTGCATAAAAATGTTTTCACAAGGATTTTATTTGACATTCTGGAGGATTTTTTATCTATCGATTGCTTAAATTTGTGTAATTGTTTAACAATGATTTATTGATCCTTTGGAAAATCTTCTTGAGCTATTGACAAATTCTTCATATACTGCTTTAAATGCTGGCTACATAGGTCATAGCTGCTCTGGCGGCGGTTTTTATCGGGTTTACTTTAGCGATGTTGGTAGTTGCTGTTTTTGGATCTATTTTGCTGTGGTTTTACGGAAGTTTCTGGACAACTCTTCTTGTGATCTTCCTCGGAGGTGATTACTTCTCCTTTCGATTGTATTTTTTTCCATCTGCAAATTAATTATTTCAAACGTATGGAATTCTAATGCTTGCTGTTGTTCAGGTTTGGCATATTCATTTAGCCATGAGCGTCTTGCATTAACGATCACCACTACATATTCTGTATATTGTGCTTGGATGTATAGCGGATGGCTCGGTTTGCTTTTGGCTCTAAACCTCTCATTTATCTCAAGTGATGTTTTGATCTACTACCTAAAGAACAACATAAATCAGCAAGCAAGGCCTAATGCAAACCCAGAACACACAAATGGAATGCACGCTTCTTTCTCTGAAAATGCTCCGGGGTTTTCAGCAGATCGTGGTCCTGGGGTGGCTTCAACTAGTGGGGTTGATACCGAGATAACTTCTGAAGAAGAAGTTGCTCGATTGTTGAACTGCACCGATCACTATTCTGCATTGGGTTTGTCGAGATATCAGAATGTCGATGTTAATGTACTGAAGCGAGAATATAGAAAAAAGGTACTTCCTAAGTATTTTCACACTATTTGGATATGATCTTACATCATATTTGTTATGGTCTTGTTCTTAATAAATCCAAGTGAGCTTCTACGAAACTTCCGTTGGATCAGCTTACACTTGATAACCAACCTTTGCTATTGTTTTCGAATTGTTTACCATAATAAAAAGGAACAAGACATTATCTGATACTGAATTTTGCTTCGATAGGCAATGCTGGTCCATCCTGACAAGAACATGGGAAATGAGAAGGCTGTGGAAGCTTTTAAAAAACTTCAAAATGCATATGAGGTAATATCTCAGTTTACTATGTTTTTCACCGGATATGGTTTTTATTTATTTTCTGAGAATAATAATACAATTTTATGTATAGGTCTTACTTGATTCCATGAAGCAAAAAGCATACGATGATGAACTTAGGAGGGAGGAGCTGTTTAACTATTTCCGTCGGTTTCAAAATGCTTCTCAAAAGGTTTGAACATATGCCCTCCACGTTCTTAACTAAAATATAAAGGTCGAATGTCTATCATGTTCAAGTTTCTTACTTGAAATATATATATTCCTGAATAGGTGTATCAAATCTTTGTATCGTACTCGACCTTTTTATTGCTTTTGAATGCGCAGAATGGTCGACATCATTCTGGATTTGGATGGTCAGAGGCTGATGGGGAGGAAGCTTTCGGAGAACCTAGGAGAATTGTCTGTAAAAAATGCGGTAACTTTCATGTCTGGATACATACAAAGAAATCAAAATCTCGAGCAAGATGGTGCCAGGTATTTCCTCTTCCTCCTAAATCATCATCTATACTTTTTAAGTTGTCCTTCGAGCACGACTGCACGAGATCCCAATTTCGATAACATGGTGTCCTATCCCTTACAATGAATTATTTATGTTTCTGGAATATTGTCTAAAGGATTGCAAAGATTTTCATCTAGCAAAAGACGGAGATGGATGGGTTGAACAATCTTCACAGCCCTTCCTTTTCGGTTTATTGCAGAGGGTATGTACTTTCCGTCCCTCATCACAGGCTGATACTTTTTTCCCGAATTTTCTACATCTTCGTTTCAACATATAATCAATTATACATTCTCTAGAAATACAGTTGAAAATAAGAAGAATGGGAATTACTTCTAAAATATTTACATAGTTACGGCCCCAAAACAAACCAACTGGTTTAGGGTTGAGTTTTTTTGGGTCGATATTTTTAGATCTCAAGATTTTATTCTTCGTCTTTACGTAATAGTTATTTCGTTATTGGTGTAGGTGGATGCTCCCTCTGCCTATGTTTGTGCCGATAGTAAGATTTATAATGCTACGGAATGGTATATTTGTCAGGTAAACCGATGTTTATCTTGCTTGCATCCCTTTATTAAGCAAGTAATTTCTGGTTATTACAAATGAACTTTTCAAAGTACACTCTGGAAGCTTGACCCTAAATACATGTCAGAAACTGGTTAATACGAAGATATCTGGAGTTCAATACAATGCTAGAATTTTCATTCGACACTCTTGCAATCTGCATCCTCTGTTTAGACCCTCTTTAGTCGTGGATAAAACAATCGAATGCTGCTGGATTTTTATTGCAGGGAATGAGATGTCCCCCGAACACACATAAGCCAAGTTTTCACGTCAACACTAGTTTGACATCCAAGCATAGTACCGGAAAGGGATCTAGTTCTGGACACAGAGGCGGGAAAATACCAACGCCTAATCCAGAAGAAACCATGACAGAGGCAGAATTCGTAGAGTGGTTACAGAATGCAGCACAAGCAGGCATGTTTGACGATTTTATAGGTAGCACCTCTGCAGAGAGCCCAGTCGCCAAACCTGGAAGTGGTTCGAAGACTGGCGGTAGCAATATGGGCAGCGGCGGAGGTAGCGGTAGCGGAAACAAGAGAAAGAAGAAAGGAAAGAAACATTGGTAAGCAGTCATCAAGCGACTCGAAGGCATTGATGATTAGAAAGTCCCCTTGTAAGCATAAAACATGCAGATTTTGTATAGCATTTTATCTTCATCCTAACTTCAAATAAATAGATATGGAGGATCATATTCATACTGATTTAAATGCATGGCAAGAATAGCTGAAAAATAGCTTATATAACAATAGGGAGGTTTTGCTTTGAAATGTGTGGTTTCTCATCAGTGGAATTATACGTCAAATGTGCTTGGGCTTGGGCGGGTCAAGTCAATCTAGTTTTTGGTTCATTTGGGTTTTATATTTTTAAATCATTTCGATTCGGGTCAATTTCGATTTAGAAGGGTTGAGTTTAGGTCATTTGGGTTTGAGGCTCGTGTTTTTCAGGTATGATCATTACGGATTCATATCATTTGAGTTTAGGTCAAGTTCGGAGTTGGGTGGTTTGTTTTATGTTTGAATTAGGACAAAATGAAATTATAATAAAACCAAAATTTAATTCGTTATTAGTCTCTAAACTATGTGCAAGTTGTTATTTTATTTTTTTACTTTGATTTGGTTATTTTTAGGAATTGTAATTTAATTTTTCGTGTCATTTGAGTCTTGACTAAAATTTTAAAATTTAAAAGTTTAGAGGATAATTTTGACTAAATAAAAGTATGGGAATTAAATATATAACTTTACGTATAATAAAAATGACTGATGTTATAATTTCACTCTCTAATAATTCACAGTGCAAATCTTAAACTTGGATGGTACGAGCATTAATTATATTTAATATTTAAATATTTAAATATAATATTCTTTGAACTTGATCAATTAAGCTTAAAATTAGAGGTTTGGTATTGTTTTAATATTAGTTTTTGAGTTTAAAGTTTGATTAAGAAGCTAACGTATATAAAAACATTTAAAAAATATTATAAAAATTACCAAATACAAGGACTAAAAATAAAGTTTATCTCATTTAACAAGATTTCACTGTGAAAGACTTGAACTACATTTAAATTGTAGGATATTATTGGGGACCTTCCCGTAATTTGAAAATAATATTGAGGGCAAAACGATGAATTTACTAAAAATACGTGAGGTCAAAACGATGAAGTGCAAAACAAATATCGGCTGCTGTCCGAAGTGAATTCTCAGTAGCAGAACAGAAGGAAAACGAAGTCTTTCGCATCATATTATCCGATCCTCTGGGTAAATCCTTTTTCTTTGTCTTTTCTTTAATATTTTGTTTACGATTGCAGTCCAGTGATTTATCATCAAAATCCGCTTTTCATTTATTTAAATTGTATTTAATTGTTTGTGTTTGAAGGATTTGTCGATGCTTAGATCTAATACGATCCATAGGTTTCAATCATCTTGGATGTGAGAAGATTAGGTTATTTTTCTTATTTTATTTCGTAATTTGTACTAATAGTTCAAATTTTGGAAATTTGATATACCATGTTCTTTTGAATCCAATCTCCAAACGCTGCCGCCCTTACTTATCTTGGGTTATTGGAATGGTAAAGTTTAGCTCTTTTTGGTTCTCTCCAACATGCCTTTGGATTATTTAGTTTCTATTGGTTGCTTCTTGAGCAAATCTCGCTTTTTGATTGTTTCTTCGAGTTGATTCGAAAAACCTTGTTAATGTTCCTTTGGGATTCTTGGGTATGATGTTCCTATGATTTGTTCCAACTTCCAAGTGTTTGTCTTCTGCTTCATTAGGTAATTCACCTTGCAAGCTGCAACTTGGGCAGATCCAAGGGGCGGCTGGCAAGGGCATCGGCCCCATTGGCTCCTTGAAGCTCCTTCGATCCATAATTTTTAACTAACATACATTTTTTGGTTTCTCTCTTGCCATGCAACATATGAGCTCTGCTCAATTTATTTTTTGTTTCTTTAGAATTATCGAGATTATTGGTGGCTTGTATCATTTTCACTGTTAACACATTTGTCGGATTCTTGTTTCCAGAAAGTTGTAGACCACACAAAAAATACATTATGGCGGGACATAGTGATTCGAGTTCGTCTGAGAAGAAATCAAGTGAAGCTATGAACGATTGTACCGGTTTTTAGCGCGGAGAATATGCAAAATAACATGAAAGTTATATTACAGGTTTGTTTTCCATGTTTACAGAAATGTGATATGTATCGATGCCAATATCTAATTTATGTTTCAATTTGCAGCCGAACATTTATGTCTATCATCGGAGGGGTTATTGCCGGGATTTTAGGGTTCACAGGCTTTATGGGGTTTGTCTTTTATTTTCTTGTCATGGCAATTACTTCAATTGGACTCATAGCAAAGGCGAAGTTCTCAGTTCATTCATATTTCGATAGCTGGAACCGGATTATACTCGATGGTTTCATGGGTGGACTTATGGTAAGCTTCTTTAGGTTTCGAGTTGCACTCTACATATTCCATGTTCTAAACTTTCATCGGCTAACAATGTTCTTTAAATTTTTGCAGTCATTCGTGCTATTCTGGACGTATCCTTTCTTTCTTGCAATGGTACACGGACACAAATGGTAACACTCCACACACTCTCAAACCCTACTTATTAACTCGTAGATTCTGCATTGCCTCTGATTTTTTTGTTTAAATTTGCTAGTAACGCTCGTTCGAGCCGGCAAATCTTAGGACTGAAAATTTACCGGCTTCCGGTTTATCTTTTAATACATCCTCTTTGCCTATCGGTACTTTCTTTAACACCAACAGATTTGCCTATGACATTGTGCATATATTCTGAAGAACAATCTACAACACCTCATCGGAAAGAGAAGCGGAGTTCACTGCCCCTGCCTTTGACTCCGGCTGTTTGCTGGCAACAGAGTTCTTCGGTGTTTTTGTCGTAAAACCATTAATGGATTTACCTTTTGATTACTTTCTTTGAGACAATTTTCATCATATTTTCGTAGACTTTATGTCTTATATGTTGGTAGCCTTGCTGGTGATATAGAGAAAAGATGTGAACTGAACTTGGGTATTTTTTTACACTTCGCGAATGCTTATGATTGTTCCAAGTTTTGCTAATCAATCCCAATTTATCTTTCAGAAATGGTTTCTTAAAGCTTAAACCTATTTTCTTTTTAAAAGATAAATATTTTTTAAGTCAATTTAGCCCTCAATATTTACACATTTTGTTTATTATTTTTTAGTTAAATTTAATCCGAACTTTTCGAAGGGTTAAATTTGATCTTTAACCTTTCAAAAACTATCTTTTTCAATAAAAATAAAAAATTAATTTTTTTAATACAATTGATATGTAGTTTCACATGACGTCTTTCATACCATTGTTAATATTGAATTCTCCTCGCTATTAGAATAAAAGGTAAATTATACATATGGTCTGATTATATGATATTATTTTTGTCTCAATTGTTAAAAGTTATAAAATGATCTCATGATTATGGATATTGTTTTATTGCGTCAATCATCTATTAAATTATGATGATTATTTTGTGACTTTTAATAGTTGATGACTAAAGAAATACTATCCTATAGTCGGAGGATCATTTGTATATTTTACCCTAGAATAAAATTAGACTCAGCAATAAATCTCATGAATTTTTGTTTAAATTGTTAAATATATATACAAGAACACTAATAGTTGATTAAAAAAATGGAAACAAATCTCATATGTACTAACCTAGAGAGCAATCATAGACATTTATAAGATCTTTTCATTGCATTTGATAACATACTCTTAAAATTAAGGGAGAAAAAGCTTATGGCGGATGCCTAAACACTCCGAGATGAGGAAAGACGAAATAAACGACGGAATATTTATGAGTTAAAGTTAAATGAGATTTATAATTTTAAATTAGACATTATTATAAAATTACTATAAATAGTCACTTTGCTTCTTATTTTTTTTAAGAGTATTTTAACATTCAACATTTTAACTTTTAATCAAAACAAACCCTATTGGATGAAAACCGTTAGTTGACTAATGATCGACACATATTACGACGTAATATTTTCACATGTGTTCAATTGTTAGGTTGTCTTCCATGGATAAACTTGGAGCATACCAAATTACCTAGCAAGCTAATACCATTGTCTTCCTTATTTTACATCACATTGTAGAAAGACTCATTCCTTATGATCTGAGATCTGCGAGTTAGGGGTAGACGATACGTAGGGACTCCAAAACTTGCCTTGCTACACAGCAGCATTGTAGGAGATTATCTACACTTTCATCAGGAACGTTGCACAAACGATAAACATTCTAACATGTATTTGTTTCTATTATCATTAGGGATGGATTGAGGGATGGGTAGAAACAGTCACATCCTGAAAATTTAAAATTATCATATAGTTTAATTTTCTTATGTGTTTTCTATAAAAAAATATGTTTTTGCTTCCCTTAGAAGTTAATAAGTTTTTCCTCTACTAAAATTTTATGTTAAAAGTTTATCATCGAACATAAAATTTTATATCCGTCATTGATTGTCATATCATTATTTAAAAGACGTAGAACATGATACATTGTCATTTTGATAAATAATATGCAACATGTCAGTAATATATATATATATATATATATATATATATTAGCGGTTAATCAATTAATTATTTTCATTCAATCTAAGTTATTTTGATCAAAAATTAAAAAATTAGTGATTAAAATCATCCAAACAAATAGAGTGAATTTATTAAGTAGTCTCATTGGAGTGTTATCTCTTTATATATTTGAGTTCAAACAGTTAAATTTATAAATGTGTTATAATAATTAAAAATTATTCTAATACTAAATATTATTTTATAATCATAATAAACTATTTAAAGGAGCGTGACACGTGTCAATACATGCTTGAAAAGTTTTATATGAATTTTAAATTTTAATTAAATAATTTTTATATCCAATCAGGTGGTGACATGTGTTACCACCAATTGAAATGAAAATAAAGGATAAAGTTGCACTCTAGGAGATTCAAACCGATGTCAAGGGGGGATTATGAGCAATCGGGCACCCAAACCATTAGGTCAAAGGTCCCAAATAGTTTAAACTTACAATAATTTGTATTGTTTAAAAGTTTGTTAATGATAAAAAATTAAACAAATTATTTGTTTAAATAATTATTTGCCTTACAAAAAATTACTAAAAATTAAATAAATTATTCACGACTATATTATTTAAATTTATTGTAAACTGTTTTTAATTAAAAATATTCAATTGTTATATAAATTAAAAATTTTAAAAAATTTAGGTTAATTCAAAATTGACCGAATTAACCGAAAGTTGTTCGGTTCGGCTAATAATTTTCAAATAAATTTCGGTTCGATTAACGGTTAAAGAAAAAATTCGATTAATTCGATTTGGTTAATTCGGTTTGGTCGGTGACCGAATTAACCGTTTGAACACCCCTAGTTGTAAACTTTAAAAGACAAATACTTTGTTTATTTTTTTATCATTACAAACCTTTTAAAGACAAATACAAATTGTTGTAACTTTAAACCTTTAAGTATCTTTGTCCCAATTGTTTGGGCGTCTGGGTGCTCATAATCCCCCTTTACACTAGTTCACATCTCGAGGGTGCAATTTTGTCCATTTTTTTTCACTTTAATTGGGTGGTGACTCGTCACCACTGATTGGATTGAAAAATCATTTAATTAAATAATTTAAAGTTTATAAATAAAACCTTCCGATCATTTATGACACATGCCACGTTCTAATTGAATAATTAAATTTATTTAATTGAATTAAAATAATGATTAAATTAATAAAATATGTAAATATTAAGGACCAAATATATAATTATGTCAATTTTATTAATGGACAGTCACCATATCCGTTAGATTGATTCAATTGAAACTTTGTTGGTCAAATTGATTTTCTATCATAGTTTAGTGGTTTCCCTTGTAGTTTACCCTAAAGTTTTCAATTTTTTTTACGAAACATAAGTACACGTGTAGTTTAATAGGTGAAAAACAACAAACACTCATCCGCCGCCATTTATCGCCGCGTGTCTGCCCCACTTCCCACTAAACCCTTACTAACTCCCTTTTAATTCCCGCAGTTCTTTGGGATAAACCAAAAGAAAATTAAAATGGAGGACGAAAGATCAAGTTCACTTCTTCAGGTGAAAGAAAATGAAACTTCCCTCATTTTTCTTTATTTGTATTTCATCGTTTCTGTTATTTTCGTTAGTTTTTGTAATTTAAAAAAAATGGTGGTTGAATTTTGTAGTTAATGGTGAATGAAGGGCTGGTGCCATCACCAGAAGAAGAAGAAAGAAGGAAAAATGTCATTGAAAAGCTTAAAAAAGTCTACCCTTTGATCTCTGTTTTTCATTTGACTATATTGAATCATTTCCTAAATCTTTTTTAATGGCTGAGAAATTTCATGTTTTTTTCTTCCTTTTTGCAGATAGTAATGGCCTGGGCTAAGCGAGTAGCTTGGCAACGCCGGCTTCCGAAACAAGACATAGCTGCTAGTAGTGCTACCTTATTAACACACGGCTCTTATGGTCTCGGAGTAAGTGAATTTAGTTTCCTCCCTAAATTATTTGTAGCTATATGCATAGTCCCGCCAGGCTGCCACCCACAAGATTAGTGTAGGAGTTAAGTTCCGAGTGAACCAGGGTTCGATCTGCACGGTTTAGGCGTAAATTCTAAGTGAACTGGTGTTCGATCCGTGCCATTTAGGATTGAAGTCTTAGATGCACCAAGTTGATAAGAGAGAGTGCATAATTAAACAATTTATTGAGTTCAGAGGTCGATGTCGATGCTTTATGTGTTGATACAAGAGAGTGCATCCATGAGATTACCTGGTAGGGAATTAGGTTTAGGAGAAAACGGTACTCGAATTATCAGGGAAAAGAAGAGACTATATGATCATAGTTTGCCAACTGAATTTAGCAATTTATTGATCCGGTTAATGGTTTGGAGTATAACATTGATGCTTTCTGTGTTATCCTTACTGAATTTAACAGCTGTTATGTGTTGATACGAAAGAATATCCTCGAGATTACATGTGAGAGAATTCGGTTTAGGCAAAACGATGCTTGAACTGTTTAGCAGGGAAAAGAAGAATAAATAAGCATAGCTTGCCATTGTTGCCGACTGAATTGTAACAATTTATTGAACAGGTTCATGGTTCGGAGTCCGACATCGATGCTTTATGTATTGGTCCTTACTTTGCCACCATGGCCGTAAGTAGATTGATTGCTTCATACTTTGTTCTTTATATACTAATTGAGGTTTTGAATTAGTATGGTTTCAAATATGGGTATTTGTAATAATGCAGGAGGATTTCTTTATCGTTCTATATAACATGCTTAAGAGCAGACCCGAGGTATCTGAGATTCATCGTGTGAAGGATGCAAAAGTCCCGCTAATGTGTTTCGAGTTCGATGGAATCTCAATAGATCTTCCCTATGTCCAGCTTAAAGTGTTGGCTATTCCGAGGTAAGCATAAGAGATATGGATTTGCATTAAGATATTATGTTTCGAAAAATCAATTAGCCTTATCCTTTGAACTGCAGAATCTAGACATTTTTGATCCCTCTTTTTGAGGGATATTGATGAAACCAGTTGGAAAAGCCTGTCTGGAGTGTGTTCAAACAGGCGGATTTGTCAGCTTGTTCCGAACTTGGAGGTTCTTCAGCTGCCCTTTCTTTTCTTTTTAATTTTGATGGCATCTGGAAACTCAGTTTTTCATTTGGAATGTCGTGCATTTTCGGTGTTTGTGAATCTAATGCTTGTTGTACTTTAGCAATTCCAATCGATGTTACGATATGTCAAATTTTGGGCAAAGAGAAGAGGAGTATATGGTAATGTAAGTGCAATGTGCTTTCCATTTCTCGACTTCATCTTTTCTTCAGCATATGATTATTTATTTTGCTAATTACTCCAACTAATGATGTATCGGTTGCAGTTAAATGGGTTTCTTGGAGGAATTCATTTGGCAATTCTTGCTGCCTTTGTTTGTCAGTGTGAGCCAAATGCCTGTTTGAGTGCTCTAATTTCAATTTTCTTCAAAAAATTTGCTTTCTGGCCTTGGCCTAGACCGGTAGAGCTGAAAGATGGAACATTGCATCCTACCGTAAATCCCACAGATACGCAGTTATTTATTCCCATTCGGTTGCCGTTTAGTCCTTTTGAATATTGTCATTCAAACATTACCAGAAGCACATTCTATAAAATCAGAGCCGAGTTTCTTCGAGGCCATAACTTTACCAAGGTACAAGTTATTCTTTATTATTCCTCTTCTTTTCTTTTTGTCTGCAAACACCAAAATCCACATGTGAGGAGCGTAAAATCAATGAGAAGGGAAGGAAAATATTATTTTTAAGAAATATACTACGTACAGATCTGAACGGCCTGCTTGATTAGTATCTTTCACCTTCCCTTTCCGTATGATCGTCTACTATAGATAAAGTCTATCTTTCACTCATTTACAACAGATTAAAAGCAGTTTTTTTTGGTATTGCAGGATCTTCTGAAGTCTGATTTTGATTGGCACAACGTATTGGAGCCTTTTCCATACACTAAGAAATATACTCGGTTTCTCAAGATTTTCTTTCGGCTTCTAAACAGGATGAACTTGGAGACTGGGTGGGTTGGATAAAGTCTCGCTTTCGCTGTCTTCTCTTCAAGGTACACTTCTCCCATAGGACCCCCATTTATATTTACAGGAAGAGGGGGACGATTTGATAGGTCTCAGAGAGTTGAGTGATATATTCTTGATGCATCTAGGGTATAAACGAGCAAGTCAAATGTCATTGTTTTTCAAGGTTCATGGTAAAGAACACTTATCAATCGCATACTTGGTAGATGAGTTTTCAGAGGTTGAATTGGGCGCTTTGTCACAATGACCATTTAGGTTTGGGGTTTATCTGATCACATTCTACTTGTACTAAATGCTTTCAGTACTTTCTCTGCTACGTAATGTCTCTCATTTTCGAAGTCCCTGCTCGATTTCCACATAATCCATGTTTTGGTATGGTCTCCTCTTTAATGAGGTTTTACTTATTGCAGCTAGAGGAGGTACAGGGTATATGTGACCCTAATCCTGCAGAATATATCGATCGACACGGCAAAGCTACACGTCATTTTTACTGGGGCTTACAACCAGGCAAAACTAATGCCATAGATACTGAATCCGTGAAGGATGTTTTCTGGAGGAATCTCTGTACCGGCTATCAAGGTCCTTTAGGAGAAATGGAATTATCCATTGTCCAAGCTTCTCAACTACCCAAGTGTGCTCAATCCGATACCGTAAACGGGAAAGGAACGAAATCTTGTTGGAAGATAATCGACTACTATCAACAACGGATTCCTATATACTCGCAACACCTTCCGCACTATGTTGTCGGATACGTTCCGACTAATGGGGACCCCGAGTATCCGAATCCGAGTGCCGGGGTTTAGAATTAGGCTATCCCGTTTTGCAATTCTGGTCTTCTTTCTTATGGCTGCCTAGTTCATACGATGGGGATCAATATGGAGAGTTTATAGCAAGAAACTGAGGGGGATTCTTGTTGTCTTTCGCAGTAGGTTACTGTTTTACACTTTATAATCAACAGATGATTACACTGATCTCTGTCTTTCTTGCAAAACAACACCTTTACAATCTCGGCTCTCTTATCGGACCCTTACAGCTCGAGTGCCGACACAAGGGCTAGCCTAATCGGAGCAAATAAAGTAAAAGCCAAAGCCACCGCAACACTATGACAGATCACGGCTTTACTTAAGAAAACCAAAGACCAAAGCTTGATGATGCCTTTGCTCGATTGCGTTGATCATCACAACGCCACTGTCAAGCACGATGTTCCTATGGCCAAAGGTGACCCTGCCGTACTCAACTAATTGGTTATTTTGTGGACCTTTTCCATCATATCATCAATAATCTCAACTAATTAAAATGATCTACATTAATTTTTTTTCCACATCGTTTACACAATAAAAATTGTACTTTTTACAACAATTTCTTCATTAATACATATCAAAATTAAATTTAAATTTAGAGATTAAATTGTACTTTAATGTATAAAACAGTGATTACGATGGTCATAATAAAACAGTGAAATTCCTAAAATTATTTAAATTTAGATCGAAATGGGAGGAGATGATAATATAATCTTGTTGATAACAGATTTATATGAATAAGTTTTAGGTCGAGAAATGAGATTTTAAGTACTGGAAAATTATTTTAAATTCCCACGTCAGTATTGACGAATTTTATAATCAACTTGGGAGGCTTTGCCTTATTATTTATTGCTTTTGGGGTTTTGGTTTTTGTGGGTGCGACCTCTGGTAACATGTGAGGGTCGGTCCGGTTGAGCCGATAGGGGATGAAATTAGAGTATGGAGATAAAGTATAATTATCAATAAAAATTAAGAGAATTATTATGTATAATATAAGAGATTATAATTAAAGGTGATTAAATAAATTAAAATTGACGATATATTTATCGGTTAATAATGATTCATTTTTCCAATGAGTAAAGAATTATTAATTACAATGCCTTAAAATTATGCATGATTGACATATATGGAGGGAAGAGAGTTAGGGTTGAAATTGAAACTCCTTTTTATTGAGAAAAAAAATATATCTTTTAACATCTTCTTAAAATTATTAATAAAAATTAATTAAAATTAAAACTATTTTTTAATCTGTTTAGTAATTTTGAGTTACATTATTTCTTTCAATAAACAACTAAAAGCAGTGACAGTTGCCTGAACATGGTGTTGGAGTGGATCCATAAGAAAAGGTAAATTATATCGAAGTTATAAGATTGTATTTCTTTTATAATCATAATATATGATCAATTAATTGATTAAGTTAGATTAAATAGTACAAAGATAAGGACGATTCTCCTAGTATAATTTATTTCTAATTTTGTTTTAAAAATTTTAGTATCTCCTATTATTAGACCAACTGGTTATTGGTATAAATGTACAAGATTATCATTTTAACATTATAATAAATATTAAAATTTAATGGTTATTTTATAATTTTAAAAGAACCAATAACTAAAATGATCATTTAAATATAGTTTAGTGCCCTCTCATGTAATTTACCCAAAATTGAAAAGAAAAGAGGAAAGAATGCAGGGTTGTTCGTGTGTCTGGCACTGTACTATCTTGGGCATTGTTTTGTAATTTGTTGGGAAAAGTGGAGAGGTTTTGGAATATTCCCCACTTTCTGAGGCGTGGACAGTTGTGCTCCGCATTTCCTGCCATTACAGCCCCCCTCCATTTCCTTCTCTAATCACTAATACTAAAACAATTTATTTGGATTAAAAAGAAAAGGACTCACAAATCCCATCATTTCTTAACAATTAAATATGAAACTCGAATTTAAATTTAAATTAGATTTATTTAAACTTTAAGTATTATAATTTAAAATCTTAAACCGATATCTTAAATATGAAACTCTAAATATTAAATTCTAAACATAAATCATAAATTATAAAAGTTAAAAATAATGATATTATTACAAAAATATCGTTAGCACTGACTGAAAATAATCAAATAGGAAAAATAAATGAAAACTTTGATTATGTACCAGATAAACCACTACCTTAGAAATACAATTATCATAATTGATCTAATCATTGTATTGGATATCAACTATTACAATTAACACTATTCTTTAAAGAAAACATGCATGTGAAGTTTAAAGTAAAATTTGGTAATATTGTTCTTTTCAAAATAGAGGAAAAAGGGCTGTAAAAGATTATTTCAATGATGAGATAAATAACTAAAAAGGTGTCAATAAAAAAGAACTAAGAGAGAATAAGAAATAGTGTGTTGAGATGATTAGACAAAACCTCTTTGTTCATATATTTGGAATTAGTATAAAAACGTCAACAAAACACAATTAAAGAGGTTGTTTGTTATGCCTTTAATTTCGCGGAAACTATTAAGATAACAAACCGAAAATTCATCGATTTTTAATATAGGGATGTACAACAAAAAGAAAGAAAGGAAAAGTTTATACGATCTATACATCATATACTTTTTTTATTTATAAATATACACTATTTAAATATATTTTTCTTAATATTATCGGGGTATTACAATGTAATACCTGTTTATAATCTCATCTGTTCGAATCTAAAATTTTAAAGGAGATCAACACTACTTTAATCAATGAAATAATTCAAAAGTTATGGATTAAAATGCAATAAAAACAAAAATTAAACGCCATGAACGAAATTTACCCTTTAGGCGAAGATTACTTGCAAAGGAAGTCAACTATAAGCCATCAAAATAATACATTATTTTCGTATTTTCCCCCTTAAATTTCCCAAAATAAAAAGGAGAAAATTTAGCAGTCTTCTCCTCAATCTTGTTCTTTGTAATATTTCCCCTGAAATAACCAACCCCTTTCCCGGGTTTCCACCTGAATCCGCCATGAACGACGAGCACATCACCATTTCCCCCCATTCGAACACAAAACCAAACAGGTTCCGAACTTTCACCGTAACTTTCTTCTCAAAACCCATCAAAACCATCGTCACCGCCACCCCTGCCGTCGTCCGCAAATGGCTCAGCAGAGTCCTCTATTTCCACCGTATCCGCAGCCACAAGCTCGTCGTTGGCCTCGGTGTTCAATGGAACCCTTCCTCTCCCATTGACCGCCCACCGGCATCCACTCTCCAACTTTGCATCGGAAGCCAATGCCTCATCTTCCAACTCATGCACGCCAACGCCGTGCCCTTAGCTCTCCGCCGTTTCTTGGCGGATCCTCGTAACACTTTCGTCGGTGTTTGGAACCATAGAGACGAAGCCATGCTATCTTGCTCGAAGTACGGGCTGAAAGTTTCGAGACTGATCGATGCTCGTGAAGTTGCGGCCGAGAGAAATGGGTTGAGCAGACAAATCTCGATGGAGGGATTGGCTGAGATTATATTGGGTGCCGGTGGTGTTGAGAAGCCTAAACGGATTGGTTGCAGTGATTGGGATAATTATCGTCTTTCTTTGGAGCAAGTCCAGTATGCTTGTGTTGATGCTCATGTGAGCTTTGAATTGGGTAGAGCGTTGAAAGCTTGGAATTGGGAGAAGAACTGAAGAAATGAAGGGTTTGTAAGTGTCTTTGGTTCAATGGCTAATGAGGGTTTCTTTTTAACACGCTTCATTTTGCTTCATGGATAATGGATTTTAGTACTTCGCCGAAACCATGTTACGTTCTTGTTTTGTGGTTGATGATCATTTTGAAAAATGTCTCTGTTCCATTGATCCTAGATGCTAGTGAGAACTATAATAATGGACACTGATACTTTTCCTTGACATTAATATTGTCTTTCTTGTTGCACACTTATCTGAAACTAATACTTGAGTTCAAATAAATATAGATTTTCATCTAAGACTGTATTAGGAAAGCTGAGGCTCTTCTCTCTTACATTAATACTTGTCTTTCTTTTTAAACACTATCTTTATATGAAACTTCGAGTATATCTAAGATTATATTGGGAGAGTTGATGCTCTATTCTCTAATATTAATATTTGTCTTTCTTATTAGACGTTTATCTTTATCTGAAACTTACATTTAGAGCACAATAATATCGATTTACATCTAAGATTATATTGGGAAAGTTGGGACTTGATTCTTGAACTTGAATTGTAGCTTGTCTTAGATCCTTCATGCTGATATTAGCTTGGAAATTGAACTTATGCAAGTTCCATAAATGACTTGAAAATGTGATGTGCAGCCTCCTATTGCAAGATATCCTCCTTTGCATAGTATGCTAATAGTTCCTTATTAATTGTTTATGCATAATTGTGTTGCCAAAATGTTTGTATCAAAGAGAGTAACGGTGTATCTCTGTTCGATTTTTCATTTATTTGAAATACGTGTCCGATAAACAACAACATTTTTCATTTTATGTGAATATTTATTTATTTATTTATTTTATTTGTCCTTTTTTTCTCATATGTATGGGGTAAGGGGAGGTAAGATAGTAGGCTGCCCCCAACACCAGGTTGAGGTATGGTAAACACAAATATGAGAATAACCCTATGAAGACCATTCATTTACTCGGTTAAACTTAAGTAGAAAATGAATGTACTTGTATCTCCCTCCTGTTGCCGTGCAAATAGACTCCCATATTTGAATATTACCATAAAATAATTAAATATTAAAATGACATGTATTATCAATTATTTATCGGTATGACATCTTTTCAGTATCACATAATGTAAAGGTATGTCATATCAAATATGATTTTAAAAAATGTATCAGGCCAATCACGATTTTTAAAAACGTGTTTGATGTGATATGCTTTTGTCTTACGCGACATTGAAAAAGTCCATTGAAGGATCAAAATAGAAATAAAAAAAGGAAAAATAATGTATACAAAAAAAATTATAACTTTTATCTAAAAAGAAGTAACATGTGTGATACTCTATGCATGTTGACATGAGTTGAGCATCAACAATGATGCATATGTACAAGTCTTATCTTCAATTGTTTAAAGGTTGTATTTAGATTTAAATGAAATTATTCAAACACTATGGGCTGAAATCGAATAAAAGTTAAAAGACTATTGATGAAAATTACTCTTTAATTTTCCTGATGCAATGATAGTCCGTAGTCAAATATAAAACGGCAAGCGATTATTATCGTATTTTCCCCTTAAATCCCCAATATAAAAACGAAAAAGGTTTGCAATTTTCTCCTCAATTTCGTCCTCCTTAATATTTGATTGGTTTTCGACCTAAAACCCATTTTGTAGAGCCTTAAAAACCGCCCCAAATCCGCCATGAACGACGACTACATCACTATCTCCTCCCATTTCAACCCAAACCCAAATAGTTTCAGGACTTTCACTGTTACTTTCTTCTCGACCCCCATTACGACCACCGTAACCGCCACCCCCTCCGTGGTCCGCGACTGGCTTCACAGAGTCCTTCGTATCCACAGTTCCCGACGAGACAAGCTCGTCGTCGGCCTCGGCGTTCAATGGAACCCTTTCTCTTCCGTCCACTCGCCTCCAGCGGCCACTCTTCAGCTCTGCATCGGACGCCAATGCCTCATCTTCCAACTCCTGTACGCAAACGCCGTGCCTTTATCTCTCCGTCGCTTCTTGGTCGATCCTCGTAATACTTTCGTCGGTGTTTGGAATCTTTTTGACGCGGCCAAGCTGTATTGGTCGAACCATAGGATTTGGACTTCTAGGCTGGTCGATGCTCATGATTTTGCTGCTAAGAGACGTGGGTTAAGAAGGGAGTTGTCGATGGAGAAATTGGCTCAGATTATTTTGGGTACCGGTGGTGTTAAGAAGCCTAAAACGATTGGTTGCAGTGCTTGGGACACTTATCGTCTTTCTGTGGAGCAAGTCCAGTATGCTTGTGTTGATGCTTATGTTAGCTTTGAACTGGGGAAGGCATTGGAAGTTTGGGATTGGGATGAATATGAAGGCTACTAAGTGTCTTCTTCTTCAATGTCCGATTAGGGTTTCTTCTTCCTCAGGAATATATGCTTTTTAACACGCTTTATTTTGCTTCATGGATATGGCTTTTATATATTTTATATGCGAATAGCTTTGCGGTGCTGTTTAAGTTCTTGTTATGGTGATTGATGATCATTTTAGGATGCCAATGTTTCATTCATCCTATAGAGCAAGTTCAACTCTATGTGATGCTAGTGAAGTATACAATCATGGAGACTAATACTTCTCTCTGGCATTAGTATTCGTCTTTCTCGTTAGACACTCATCTTTATCCGAAACTTGCACTGGAGTCCGAGTAGAGTACTATGGGTTTCCATCTAGGATGCCATTGGGAAAGCTGAGGGTTGAACTTGAACTTTAGCTTGGCTTAGATCTTTCATGCTAACATTAACTTGGAAATTGAACTTATGCAAGTGCCATGAATGACTTTAAAATGGTATACCATACATCCTATTGCAAGATGTTCTTCTTTACATATATCGATAATAGTTCCTATTGAAATTATGTTGCTTTGATTCTTCATCTTTCTTGAAGTACACTATTAGTGCCCACTGTTTATATATGTTACATTTCTGAACATAGCTATTAGAATATGACCCTCCAAAGATTATCTAAGTACACGGTGAAACTTCGGAAAAGAAAAAGCATATATCTGCGTCTTACTCATATCTAACACTCACACCCGAGTATGAGTAATGAACAGTTTCTTCAGTGGCGATCTTGCTTCACCCAAGTTGGTTCTTAGAGTTTCTTCTGTGGAGTTTACCTTTTAAAAGGAAATAATTCTTGTTTTGATGAGCAATCGGTCGGTTTGATTAGTTTGGTCATTAAAACAGATAATCCAAAGCTTAATTCAAATGATTTACCTTGATAATAAAGTCAAATATATTAAACTATAACTACGTTAGTCATTCTTAATTCTACAGTCAAGTCGAGCTGACCGACAACGAAGTTCGTTGATTAATAACACGCCAATTCTTCCGAATCTGGCCATTGGTACCGGTTATTACACCTAAGCTTCCCAGTTTCAGCGTCGAATTCTTGAAGTCCTCGAAGGCCAAAGGGTCCTCGGCATAGGAGAATATTTGCTGTCGTGTTTGATAATCGTCAGTGAAGGGTGTCTGATCGAACGGCAACAATCTCTCTCTGAAAAGAAGGTTAATACTGGTGGAACGTTGCTGAGCTGATCAGATTGAGTTGTGCGAACCTAGAGTTCCCGTCCGTTGGTAAGCACAGCTTCTGCAGGTTTATAAAGGAAATAGAGGTTAATATCCGGACCGTTTGAGCCTTGAAGCCGCCCGGTGAATATAAAGCATCGAGCCATTCCCGACGTGTGTGATCCTGCAACGAAGCCAATGGCAATGGTTTAAACATATTCCAAAATCTATATTCTTATTCTTCGAAATACTCGGATACAAGTTAGATAGAGATTTGCCCGATATGAATATGTTCAATTTCTAAAAAGTTCTTTTATATATTTGAAGGATCATATCTTTATAGCATGACGTGAATTTAAGACATATTTCAAGAAAATTAGAATAAAAGAGTCAAATTGTGGTTTTAGTTCCTCTATTTTATAGAAGGGTCAAAACAATAACTTGACCAAAAAATAAAGGCATAATGCTAAAAGTAGCCCTCCAACGTTGACCAAAATAGTCATTTTGCCCCCTATTCTATTTTTTAGAGTATTTTGGCCCCTAATATTTGACAAAATAATCACTCTGTCCCTTAAGTCTTTTTTTCTGCGGCATTTTAACCCTCAACATTTCATTTTAGATTAAAAAATGCTCTTATTTTGGATCATTAATCGTGTGTTAACTAATGGTTTTTATATATAGATGGAGCTTTTTGCCCCAAAGTAAAACGTTGGAGGTCAAAATACTCAAAAAAGAATAAGAATAAGGACCAAAATGACCATTTTGATAGATGTTGGGAGCTATTTTTGGCATTATGCCAAAATCAAAATGGTAGTGTATGCATGTACTCACTGTAAATATCAGCACAAGGAACAGTTTGATGGCAAATGGATTCTACTTCAGATTTAATAGCATCGATGACTTCGAATCCCCTCAGAGAATTCAAGTTCAATCACATATACACCCTTTAGTAACACAAGTTAAAAGAGTGACTTGCATTAACAAAGCAATCATGGAAACGGAGACGAAGCAACGAAGACGCCATTCTAGAGTCTTGGGAAACTACATTTTTGACGATGGATTCTGCATCCTGGCAGCTATTGTCTTACAAGTCGATCTGCAACGCTACGCTAACGTAGTCGACGCATGTTCTGTTCATGGTGTTAGCCACATTAATGGAAAGCATTACCACACAGACACAAAATCAAACACATGCCCATCTTTATAGTCTTTACCATCTACAAATTGCAACTTTAAGGTCACACACGCACACACGTGTTGCTCTGCAGATTGAAGATTTTGAAGTATTAAGAGAAGTTAAAAGGCAATCTGCCATTTTTGTTTGTATTTTCTGAACCATTGGGCTTCAGATCTCTTGTTTCAGGCCTCATCATGTCCACAAGCAGGGTGACTTAGGCTAAGGAAATATAGAAAAAAGGCCGATAATGTTTTTTTAATAGTCAGGGTGTTATAAGATAATATTTGTTCATAATCTCTCTTAATTATTGACGATATACACACCCTGCAAATGCAATTACTCGAACTTATGACTTCTAAAAATCACTTAAACCACTTAATAAATTTTTTTCAATAATATTAATCCGATACAAGTGAAGACAGCATCTAAGTGCTCAAAATTCAAAAGGACAAACTTTATTCTTCTGAAATAATTTTTATTTTCTTTTGAAAAGTGATGACAAGATTTGATGTTCAACCTCATCTACATATATACACCCATGTGCCTCTACAGAAATTAATATATAATTTCTTCTTTATTTAATTCTTAAGATATTTAAGTAACTTCGAAATCTTAATTTTTTTAAAAATAAATTATTATAATTTGGGATGGATATAAAATATTAAGTTAGGAGACGAGTTTATAAAATTTTAACGGATGCGTACTTATAAAATTTTAAGGGATAAAAATATATTTTTAATAATAAAATTAAAAATATATAGGAATTTGAAATTTTTAGGACCCCTTCGATCCATCCTCGATTGTAATAACTTTATTTAGATTAAAAATACAGAAAGTATTGGAGTCTAATCACTATAGGCCACAAATACGAGAGCTCTGAACCCAAAATTTAGTCCAATTAGTTACGTAATCAATTGTACACGGAGCTATATAGAGTCGGAGTCAAAAATTTTAGTTTGATAGAATGTTATGTCTATTAAATTAAATTCAAATAAAATTAGATTTTATCATTTTCAATTTTTTAGATTAAATATTTAACAAATTCTTATTATTTTAAACTTAAGTAACTCACCCATTATAATATTTGATCCTAATTTCATCTTTAATAACAATATTATAGAAGTTTGGCACCTATACAAACTATGAGAGTTTTTTCTTTTCTTCCTTTCTAGTTTGATCGATTATACTAGAAAGTTGCTTCTTTTTTTTCTTTTTCTCGGGAAACAAACAAGACTAAGCTTTCAATCTTTTGAACTTTCCAACAATGTTCGAGCAAACCCTATCGAGCCCATCAATTAAGGAAGTGTTCATAATGACGAGGCAAAAGAAAATAAAATTATAGAAAGAAGCATATCCCTTCTTCCTTGTGACGTTTGAGTAAACTAGTGACTAACCCATGATTACACCATATACAAGGGGATCCACAAAACTATGGTGTTTTTAGGGTAAACTACACATTTAGTACATCAACTATTATTTTTGTTCCGTTCTGGTCACCCAATCATTTTTTGTTTTGAAGTCATACCTAATGTTACGTTTTGAATTCATTTTGGCCCCCACTGTTAAAAAATTAATAACGATGATGACTTTGTCACCATAAGTTAATGACGCGTCATCATTGAAAAAGCTTTAGAAAAATATTGTGTTAACAGCTCTGTTAACTTTTTAACGACAAATGATCAAAATAAAACCAAGACGTAACGTATAAGTATGATTTAAAAAAATATAATAGTTACGTGACCAAAACAAAAGTAATAGTTGGGATACTAAACGTGTTGTTTATGCTATTTTTATATATATTTACTAATGTTTTAGTAATTGAGTCGTTAAATTTGTTAATATAATTATATTCTCTAAACTTAAAAAATCTGAAACCAAACTTTTCTTTTTAATCATACTAATCTAAAGTGTTAAATGGTAATGAATCTTAACAATTCGATTAATAAATTTTACATTATCTTTTGTACCAAACAAAGAGTTAATATTTAAAACTTTTTTTCATATTAAATGAATAGCCTTTTTAATTTATTCAAATCAGCATGAATAATCTTTCTGAATAGAACATGATATATAAGGTTCAATTTATTAAAATATTATTAATGCTACAAATTATTAGCTGTAGCCAAAAACTTTTCACATATATTGTGTGAGATTAATGTGATTTGTCGTTAAAGTAATTTTTTTTTATATAAAATAAGTTATTTAAAAGTTGATTGAGTTTTAACGTTGTTATAACATACAAGAGAATATATATGAGAATAATTATATAAAGTTTTCGAATTTCAAACATCTTAGATTACACCCTCGAAAATGTTAACTTTCACTTTGGTTACTTATTGTATATAAAGTGTATATATGTATCAATAACTTAATCTCCTTTTATGATTTGTTTGTCGATGCAGTCGAATTTGTTTGTATTTATTTTTTGATCGAGTCTTTTGGTTGGATTTTTAACATTTTCTATATATGTCCTTGTATGATATATAGCGGCTAGTTTCAATGTTATATGAAAATGTTCAAATTATGTATTTAGTTTACGATGATAGTTGTAAACTCATATTTTAATTTTGGATATTTTCACTTTTTAACAAAACTAGCGGTTTCTATTAAAAATAAGTTTTCTAATGAGCTTTAAAAACATGATAACAATAAGTTATATGCTACTTGAAAGGAGAGAATTCAGATTCGAAAATTGAAAACGACATTATCGGTAGGACAATTATCAACACTAAGAGCGTGGACCATAAAAAATAACAGAGTGCAATTCTTTGAGTTACATTACACATTCATATACATATACATACATAGATGTAGAAAATGCTAGTGCATACATAACATATTTCAAGCAAGAATATATGCGAATGAAATATTCTTTTACATGATATATCCTAAGGAATGCATGCAAATAGAATTGTTCTATATTTTATATATATAATATATGATCTATTTTCCAACAACAATGTTTTTGTACATATGGACATATACATACATATATACATACATACATACATACATACATACGTGTGCATATATATATATAAAAGTAGCTTAGCAAGTGTCGAGGAGGAGTACGGTACCTTGTTCCTAAAGCTTAATATAGCTGAGACAATGATTTATGGCGAAAAAATCTCTCGCCATTCCCTTCTAATATCTAAGAGATTATACCACTTTATCCATTTCCTTGCTAACATGTTCATATTCCCATCATTTATTGGCCCTCCATCTCTTCTTTCATAATTAGCTTAAAAAGGAAGCTCTAAAAAGGCTAATTAATGGATGGAATGGTTAAAAGTTATATTGTTGTATGTTGGGACGAAGGTAGAAAATTTTATATTAGAATATGTTAGCTTAAAAAATTATATTAAAAGTTTAGAGTTGTAAAGTTATAAAATTTCTGAGGGGCGGCATTAGATTCATCAAAAAAAAATACACATAAAATATCTAAATTAGATCAAGATTTAAAATTTCCAAAGGTGTAACCGCAGTCCCAACATCACCTCGGTTTATCCTAGTTATATGTATATCATATTTGATGCATATATTCAATAATGTATAAATTTATATATTTCATTGAGTCATATAGATTTATCTATAGTAAAAACATCCAACATAGAATATATAGTAAAATTTAACTATCATCTCCTATTGAAATGCCCTTGTTTTCCTATAAAGTTGAACAACTTGATCTGTCCCTATTACAATAAGTATCTACTTTTTATCATAAGAAAAAAACCCTAACCCTAATCTATTTCGCCATCAATATGCATGGGTGCACACATTGAAAAAAAAAAAGATAAAAGAAGAAAACAAAAGAACAAACAAAACCCATATCTCCATGGTTGAGTACTCTCTAAATATGAAGAATAGCCAGAATTAAAAATGGTGATGAAGTTAGAAAGCTACATACCAGTGCTAAACACATTACAAATTAAACCCCAATTTTTCCCCCTACTGATCTTCTTCTTCCTCTTCCTTTGTCTCTCTCCTCGTCGGTGTGAGAACAATATCTTGAAGAAGCCCATGGTCTCTAAGTGCTAAAGCAGAAGAGTTTGGATTGTTAAAACGTGGTTTGTCTTGAAAAAATGCATTGAAGGAGGGATGATGGTTCGAGTTTGAGCTCGTTGTGGTGATGTTCAAAGAAGGCGATGAGGTATATACGTAGGGTTGTAATTGTTGCGGCTGATGATGTAGATACCGAGGCTGAGTAACAACGAACGACGATGGAGAGCTGAAACTCGAGGAATCGATTGCAAATCCGATGGTTCCACGAGGCATTATCGGACACGGATGTGTATGTTGGCCTTCGTACGTCGTAACGACGGTGGTCGATTCGTCGGACGATCTCTCGACTCTCTTCTTCACCCCACACCCTGCTGTAGTGCAACGATAATAGCTCCTGTATTTTTTCCCAATAATATATTAAAATCCCACAATAAAAAAGGAACAGATTCACAAATGATAATACTAATTAAACCAAAAGTGGATCGTAAGATTATATAAATACACAGACCTGGGATAAGGACTGTTCTTCACAGCCTTTTGACCATACTTTCTCCATCTATAGCCGTCATCTAAGTGATCGATTTCACTCTTGGTGATGAAGGCAAATCTCGGTTGCTTTTGCCTTTTTTGATTATTCTTTTTGGGTTTCAACCTAAACCAATTAAAACTTTACTTAAAAAACCAGCAAAAATTGAGCAAAAAAGTGTATATATACTTACATACAAAAGATTAAAAGGCTTACGGTTTCTTTGTCTTGTACTCATTATCATGATCCCCAGCTTTGTTCCGCTCATCATTTGCGGTTACTTCGTTGGAGGAAGAAGAGATGGAAGAAGAGTTTGGTGTTGCGGGATTGTTCAAGACCTCAGAATATTCCGGTACGGTGGAAGCTACCGGCGACAAGTGGCTTCCCTGGTGGAGGTTCTGCTGCTTATTGTTGTTGTTAGTGTCGAGCTTGTTTAATAATACATCGTGGTGGTGGTCGTGGAACACTGCTGCTAGCTCAACCGACGATGGTGGTGGTGGAGGAAGAAGAACCGGAGGGTGATTGAAAGAATCGAATAAAGAAGGAGCGACAAAATCTTGATGGATTCCGAGTAAATCCATGAAACCTAATGACCCCCACTTATCTCCACCACCACCACCACTCCCTTCACATGATGTTCCAGCCATGTCAAAGATGCTCCCACCACCACCACCAAAGGTCGACGGCGGAATATCGTCGGGAAATCTCATATTCGCCATGGGATTCTCTTGCTTCTTCTCCATATAATTTATTCACATATTCTTTTTTCCCCCTTTTGATTGAACTGAAAAAAAATAAAGATAGAAAATGGGGGAGCAGAGTGTTGCAGTGTGAAATGTGAAATGGATTTCTTTTCTTATGATTTGGAGAACAGCTTGGATTTTCTTTTTCGAAAGAAGGTGACCGACATTTGCCGGTCAATTATGACCACGGTACGTGTCGAAATAAAGAGAGAAACGGTAATGAGGCCATTTATTGATTTTGGACCGCCCTCTCGTTGTTTGGGTCCACTTTTACGTACGCATATTGTTAACCGGTTTAACCGGTCGTCATAAATTATAATTTTCAATTAATTACGGTAAATATTAAGAAGCCATAATAAATTAAGTAATTTCATAATATTTTATGTAATTTAAAAATATACGAATCATTATAAAAGTTTAGGTGAACCACGCATTCAGTCAATTATTCAATTTTACAATTCTATTTGATAACATAGTTATTTTTTAAAAATTATAATTAATGTTTTATTTTTATTTTATTTTAATCATTTATAGTTAAAAATAAGTAGAATTACTAACGTAACATTTTTTTATTTTTAATGATGATATTATTTTTTTATTATATGATTTTAATAACGAATGATCAAAACAAAATATTACACTTTTTAAAAAAAATAATTAAACGACTAAAACATAATCACAAATACATGTAAATTACTAAATACATAACTTATCCTAAAAGTTTTAATAATTTATGTAATCCTCATAATAACATTACTCGCCCGTTCTCCCACTTCTTCCCCGACAAACCAACGCCAAGTTTTTCAAATTTTCAATTTAATCCCAACATTTCCACCATTTCATAAAATTATTTAATTAAGAAAAGGTAATTTAAAAACTAGATAGCACAGCTAAGCTATGTCATTTTTCACCATTTTCTGAAATTTGTCGTGAACTATCACAAATAAGTAATATATAATTAATGGAGAACTTTATAGTCGTACTTCAAATATTCATTGTTAGGGAAAAAGAAAGAGAAAAATAATTTTATCATCATTAATACATTTATTTTACATACAATGTAATTCTACACATTGTGAAACATGCAAGGTGACACTTGATAATATATTGGAATAGATACCATATTTCAGTCCCCCCCAGCTCTAAAATCACGTCCACGTCACTAAATTCTTAATCGAATTATTGTACATATAAATTATAACATTTTATACCTTACACGATTTCTGAATCGTGTTTCTTTTCTTTTCAAGACGTTTTTAGGACTCGTTACAGATAAAGGAGGAGTTGAGATCAAATATGGAAAGGAATTAAATTATTTTATATTAAATGAACAAGAATTTATTAAATATTTAAAAATCAGAAGTGATAAAGATTATATTTGACTAATATTTATATTAAAAATAATTTAAATTTTATTGTATAAAAAGTGTTTAGAATTATATTTCCTGTAACATATCTCGTGGCTCCGTCACTAACTATAGGATAAAGAGATAAAATATTAAAAATTTAATAATAATACTACCATGAAAATATAATATTTAATCATTTAATATTTCAATCAATTGTATAATTTAAATAGCACTCAATAATATTGTAAAAAATATGAATATGTTTCTATTTTATAAGATAGAGATAAATTTCAGAGTATACTGATTTCACGTGCATGTGTTGCGAGGAAGCTTTGAAAAAGGAGATTCATCGAGGAAGGAACGTGAGGAACACGGATACGGGTTGGCGCTTGGTTATGGAAAGACCCGAGAAAACCATCTAGGATACATCGAACACCGACCGGGGAAGGAGACATCTCCACCTCAACTATCACACGTTACGACCTGGTCAAAAGGTCAAAACCCTTTTTTTTATGACAATATTAATAATAATAAATTAAATTTTTTAAACAATTTAGGATGATTATAAGATGATATATTTTCATAATTTTTTTAGCCTATAATAGTGCACACATCTTACCGATACAACTACTCGAACTTTAACTCAAAGATAAACCTAAAGGGATGCGGTGGAAGCAGACATCACTCCAAAAAATTATATATTCTCATATATTTTAGATATTATATAATATATTCCATATTTCTTAGTAAATACAAATCAATCTAATTTCATTATATTGTTTATAGGTGCAATATTCTTCTTATTTTATATAAGTTTTTCCCTTTAAAAGAGTTTACCAATAATATTAATGTCTTAGATGTAGATGACGGACCATAATTTAGTGGGTGCGGGGAGGTAGTGTCCAAAACCCATGATCGTAGCCTTTTATCATCTCTTAAAATGGTTGTCCATTGTTCTCATATATACTGGGGTAAGGGGGAGATAATATAGTAGACTGCCCTCAACACCAGGTTGAGAACAACTTCCGTAGAAGACCTCCGAATTATGAAATGCCCTCCGTAGGACTCGATCCCACGACCTCAAGGTTAAGAACCTTGTGCTCTACCAACTGAGCTGGATAATCATCTCCTACAACACCCTATATATTTAAATATTTTCTCAATTATGCAAAAATTGGATTAAAAAAAAAGGACATCCTAAGTTTTAATCGAAACTACAATCAATCATAAAAAAAATCATAGCTTGATGATAGATATAGTGGGCTATCATAAAAACACGTAAATTATTATGTGTTTAAACACATCCAAATTTATAATAATTAAAATAGTAGAATAATATTTTTAACATTAACAAAATTAGAGATTTGTTATTTTATTTTATCAAGTTGTATAATAAGAAAATAACTTAATTATATAACGATATATTATTAGGATAACTTAGGTTTGGATAAAAGGGAACACTAATCTTCTTAGAGATTATAGGTTCGAGTAACAATATTTGTAGAATATGTATACGTTGTTAACAGATTAAAAAGTTTTGAACAAATCTTATATCATTAAAAGAAAGTTGGATGAAATTAAATCTATATGATAACATTGATTGAATGATTTTTTGCACTTATTTCACTTATATTTTTTATTGTTATTAATATTGTTTATTAATTGGTCTCGCTCAATTTTTACATAATAAAGACTAGGCTAAATAGTCAACTCAACAACTTGACATCCACGGGAGTCTTGCTCATATGTAGATTTTAGAGCAAGTCAATAATTACTATATATTATATTTTAACAAGTAATAATAATAATAATTAAATAATGCTTACGACAATTGATCATTTAGTTTCAAATTTTTGTTCCCAAGACACTATTCTTTTATGAGAACGTGGGACAATTTTCGATTATTATTATATGCCTAGAATATACTACAGCTAATTTTTGTAATAGAGATTTATAAAATTTTTTAAGTTTTTATTATTAAATGATTTAAAATCTGTATAATATATATTATCTTATAATCACACGTAATGTAGACACAACTATTTTAACCCATAACATACTTTTAAATGATGTGTGTCTTATACCAATTAAGTGAAATTATTAAATAAATTCGACATTCCGAGCTTATATTTGTAAACTTGTAGTTTATATCTAGAAGGAATGATTGTGAATGAGTGAGGTGGAGAAGTGGACTCAGAATGAAAACGCCTAGCGGAGATTGCGGGAATGAGCAGATCGCAGTGTGAGTCAGAGATTTATTTGCAATAGGTAAATAAAAATAATAAGATTAAAAAATGAAGTCAAAAGTATATGTAAGTTAATAGGATGAAACGATGCATTAATTTTTTTAAGTAAAATTAAATATTTGAATTTTAATATTATATTTTTTAAATCGACTTAAATTTAATAGTATTTAAGTTTAACTCGATTTGTTTATAGCCTCACATTTTATAAACATAATTTTTAAAATTAATTTTTTTAAAAGAAAATACTATTTTAATCACCAAGACTTCAGTTATATGAACCAAAGAATGGTAACGTTAAAACGCGTCCGTTTCTGTAACACAAGGAGACAAATGCACTTTAATCCAATTAAAAATAATAAATCAAGGGCCCACTTATATATATATATATAATATCACTGTTCTGTAAGTTTTTTAATGCAAAGATTTACGTCTGCAAGTTGTGGTTATCGATGATTAATTGTTTTTTTGAATTTATTATATTATAATTATTTTATGGTCATATTGTTTGTATTTATTTCGACTTCATCGACATGGTATACTCTTTTTTCTTTGTCTAATATTAGAGAAGTTTTTAACGATGTTGATTTTGTATGTGTTTTGTATGTATTCGTCTTATTATTATTATAAAAAAAATTCTTTTTCTAAAAAATCATTATATTTCTTTTTAATAATATAATTATATATTTTTAAAATTATCGTCAAATTTTTTAAGTTCATTCGTTTATGTAACTCGGCTGTTAATTCTTTGTCGTTGATTATATTCTTTTAGTAAATTTATGACAAACCCACCCGAAACTTTCCTTTCAAAAATCAAGTTTCCAGGCTCATAATTAATAACTATCAGAGTATTTTGTTTCAAATTTGAACATTGGGAAGGTCAAGAATGAGAGAAAAATAATATTTTTTTAATCGATGTTATCAAACGATGGAAATTACTGATCAAATCAATATATAATCAAAATTTGAATTTTATCGATTTTAAATAAATTTTAAAAAGTAAAACAAAAAATTAGAAAAATAGCCATTTTAATATCAATTACGTTATAAATAACAGACGAATACAATGAAAAAAGATGTCAACCATTGAGGAAAGACATAATGTCAAAATTAACTCTCAACATGTATTAAAATGATCATTTTAACATTTTTTTTCCAGAGTATTTTGATTATAATATTTTATTTTAAGGTAAAAAGACCTATAACGTTTGATTGAATAATCATTTTGACTCTTACTCTTTTTTATTTTTGAGTATTTTGACTGATACGTTTTAATTTTAGAATAAAAAATCCCTATTTTAAAGCGTTAATCATTTGTTAACTAACTATTTTATCCAGAAAATGACTTTTTTTACCCCATAGGCACGTGGTAATCTTAGTATACAATGGGACAATTATTTATGGGATATGTTTCAAATAGTTAACAAAATTGGTCAAAACGACAGACCCTTTTTGTTGTTTCTGCAGTGGACGACATTTCAACATTCAATCG